AAAAAAAAAATACAAAATTGTCAAAGAAATATAAAAACAATTTGGTAAAAATTACAAAATTGTCAAAGAAACATAAAAACAAGTTTCAACCTAATCAAACACCACCTAAACAATCTCAACTTGTAAATTTCAGGAACATTAAACATCCATCGTCACCTTCCTCAGCGCTTGATCAACAATTTTCATACTCAGCTGAACAGGCCGATTTCTCCAAACCCGCACACCCAGTACTGTCGCCGCGCACGCGGCCTCATATATTTCTTCTTGCCTTCTTTCTGCACACGAGAAACCCTATATATCTTTCTCAATTTTTTAGGTTTCTTAATTCCCCTAACAGATGAATCATCTTCTCCATCAGAAACGAAATCGTCCGAATCAGAAGAAACTACGCTAAAACCCGAATCGTCGGCCTACAACAAATTTTGTCGATTCAAAGAAAAAAAAATACTTAAATAAATCCTAAAATTTGAGAAATTAAGCCACAAAAATACACAAACAGAGTATGGTAAATCGAAATTAGGGAAGAAAACAATTTGGACGAAATTAGAGGAAAATTTACCGGGATGACGAGTTCACACGCGAAAAGGTGAGAAGAAAAAAAAAAGAGAGAGAGAGGAACAAGAAAAAACGTAACCATGAGAGAGAAGAAAAAAGAAAAAGAAAAAAAAAAAGATAATATCAAAAGATGCGTTGGTTACAAAAATAAAAATATAATTAAAAATAAAAACCGTCAGAATTTGAAAAACCTAGAAACATCCACAAAGAAGTATAATTAGAAACAAAAAGCAGTAACTTTGTCTAAATAATAATAGGGAGTAGTTATATAAACTGTCTAAACAAATAGATAGTGGGGATCATTAATTCTATATGAGGGGCCCAAATTGTGGGTTAAAATGGGCTAAAATATGTCTTTTAAAATGCTAAAGGCCCAACCAATAGGCCCAGAATAGGTCGATTTGCAGAAGGGCAGAACCCCTATAATAAGCGGCGAAGAGAGAGAAAGCACGACGGAGCATAGAAGAACATGATTATCCGAACCTGGCTCTTGGCCTGTATTCGATCGGCGGACGCAGCCGGCACGGCGAACTTGGTTTCCTGATCAACGCTCCTAAGAGGTAAATTCCGGCTTCCGAAACCATAATTTCCCAAATAACTGTTTCCGAAATTCCTTGAGAAATGTTTGGTGTGTTAAAAATGGTGTAAAGCTATTGCTTGTGAAGCTAAAGAATCAGAGAAGCTCTTACTAGTTGTTATTCGCCTCCAAGATTTTGATTATGTGTTATATTCTTTGAGATATCCGTTTTCTACATCTTTCTGTTTCGATGTTGTATCTATCTGTCGTATGTTTGGGTGAATTTTCTGAACGTCGCCTGAGGAGTGAGGATGATCTACAGACTACAGGCTGGTCGTGACCTTCTGTAGCTGTGGTCGAACTCTAAGGCAGAAGCAACTGGATTTATGTTACTCTGTTTAGATAGGGTTAAGTTTTCCTGATTATCTTTGGTAATGAGATGGGGTTGATCTAATCGTGGCTGTTTGATTTTCAAATCATTTAGTCTTTACATAGATTTTCGAATGTGTTTTATTGTTAAACAGGGCTCTTTTTTTCCGACTCGTTTGTTTGTTCTAATCATCCATACCTTTTAAAATTCAAATTCTGGATCAGCTTGTTATGTATTTCTTCGTATTTTGGTGTCTGCTTTCATGTATTGAAGTAATCGTTTAGTTGTTTATCTGTTTAATTTGCTGGGCCTGAATGAAACTTTCTATGTCCTTTTCTTTTGAAAAGATTATATTTTATACAGACTCTCCAAAAAATATCGCGTGAACTGAAATTCTTCACGCGGTCTCCGTTCGCGTCCTCCGTCGATCGTTCGCATTTCGAGATCAGATCATCAGTGTTCTCAAAGAAAGACTGAGGGTAATGCTTTTAACTTTCACATAGGTTGAAAACAGCTTAGTGCATTGGGAGATTTATTTCGTTAGTTCCATTCAATTTAATCGACACATCAATCTGGATATAAACTGGAATTTGGTCCTAATTTACGGCAAATTGACAATGTTTGCGCAGTTTCTGTAATGAAGTTGATTGAAGGCATTTTCTTTTCATGAGTAATCAGTATTAGGAACATTCTACATTATGTGGATTTATGTAATATATTCTTTACTCAAGATACTTAATATTTTGTTTGTGGAAATTGAAGGATGGTTTAAGTCCAGAGTTCTCAAACTCAAAGCCTTTGAATAGGTTAAATCCTACTAAAGTTGGGAATTTGGGGAGTAAATTGGATTGATGTGTACTCGCGCTTTATCTGTATTAGGCTCTGTTCATGTTTGAACGGGTTGGTTAATCTCAATTCTTGAGAACACGTTAAGGACTGCGTTGGGCAAGCTGAAACTCTGTGCGCGCGTGTGCGTGTTTTTACCAGTGATTTTCATGAAATGTGGATTATAGTGTACTTCATTTTATGCAAAAATTGGACCTTTTTCTTTCTCCTGCATCTTTCTATTCTTCAGGGCCCTGTAATTTGTCTGAGTTGCCATCGATTTCTGTCGTTTTATTCAACTATGTTCGGTACACATAATCTGATCATATCATTATGGAAGTTGGTGTGTGTAACATTGGCAAAAGTTTTTTTAATAATAATCTGAAAACCCAAATTCAACAGTTAAACTGAACCAAACTCGCCGACCCGAGCCTTTCACTATCAACCCAAATGGCCACGGAAACCCAAATGGCCACGGAGACAGCAGATTCCGTCAAACTATCAGCCAACCTCCCGCCACTGGCCACCGCCGGCGGTGGCGACGGCCTGATCTTATCCACGACCGACGTCATCCGCTCATTCCTCACCGCCGCCTCCACAGATTCTCATCTTCCCAAGGATCTCAGAGACCTTTCCTTCTCCCTTTCGGCGCACTCAACCGTATCCTATAAGTCCCTGAGAACATTATGGTTCGGGTCCGAACGCGAAAGCCGACCCGATTTGTCCTCTCTCTTCTTTGGTTCCAATTTCCTCTTTACAAGCCCTAAGCCCAGGGAAAAGGTAAATTTCAGCAAGTGTTTGCGTTTTTAGGGCCCTTCATTTTTGCAACTCTGTTTATTTTTGTGCTTCCGATTCATGCAATTGATTGCTGTTCCGTTTTAATTTGGTTTGTTTGCTAGAGTGAGGATTTTTTTTTTTTTT